TGAACGGTATTAAAGGCATTTTAGAATAATTTGGTGAACATGTGCTTTGGATGGGACAAGGAAAAAGAAATCAATTGTCGTCATTTTTTTACCTAGCAAGGAAAACAACCATTTACCCATCTATTTATATAACAACTTTACTTGATCAAATGAATATAATTGCACTGGATCAGCCTTCAGATGCAACTACTATATATGCCTTGGCGTATAGTATGCGCTAACATTTCAAATCAATGAACCAAAGTCCATTATGTAATGCAAAATCGAGTAGAGCAGAAAAACAATAGCAAGAATGTGGGAGAGAAATAGAGGATGAAGCATAAAACAACCTTTCTATAGAACATTATGAGCATAGTTGTTCTATCTAATGTCTTCTTTCTATATGATATATATTGATGATGATAGCCGAAACATGGTGAGTGTATGAGAAAAATTCTAAAACATGAAAACGTTTAGGAATGGTGGTAGGTAGGTGTATGTGCACATGTGAGCCTAGCCCAGTTGGGACTGATGTGTATGGATGGTTTTCTAATGATACTCTTTCCACTTGTTATATAATGTTGGGATTTATGTGTGAGTGTATGAAGTGAAGAGTGTTTCGCATTAGAAAAAGGAAAGAGATGCAAGGGATTTGTATACAAGGATTAGTCCACAACTTAAATGCTTACAATTTTGGTTTAAAGATGATGTTTAACTCTTGAGTATAAGTCACCATACTCACTTATGGGCTCCTTGGTATTAGAGCGAAAGGTTCCATTGGGCACAAGTATTAAGAGGTACGCGATGATTCCTATGACTTTATTGATTTTTCCCACAGTCGAGTGGTTGGTAAAAGCAATTGATCTCCCGTAATGACTCTATCCATGGAAATGTATTCCATAGTTGGCTCTTCTATGGTTATGAATAAAGGGCTCTTGGTTAGTGCACATTAAGTGCCCATTTGAGAGGGCATTTGGGACCGCTATGTTTGGTGAAAATCTGGAATATGTGTCACTATGTTCCAAATGTCAGAATCGTGACTATAATAGGAAGCTACTCTAGGTAGCTTTTCTGGAACACAAATCACCATGGTAGCATCGCTACTCACCTTTGATGTAGAAGCTGTACCAAATGGGCTCTAAGCTTAGCAACATGATAATGGCTTTCGAGAAGGAGTACAGAGCACTCAATGTAGAAGAGACCCACACATGAGTAGGAGATTGTTCAAATTAACGTATAAATATATGGACTTAAGAGTCCCATATTGGAAAGGAACTTATATACAAGGGATTGACCCACAACCTAATGATTTAGGTTTTTGGGTTAAAGTTGGTGTTCAACTCTTGTGCATAAGTCCCATGCGGATGTATGATTTTCTCAGTCTTGATGAATCTCCTCATTGCATAAGATATAAGACATATAATAAGAGAATAAAACAATATATTAGCTCAAGTAGAATTCCTTTCTACTAGATCTGAGATTAACAAAAAAAAACACAAGATATGTAGTAATCATAGAAGGCAACATGTTTATCAAATCAAAATATGCTGATATAATCAATAACACCATATTCTTCAATCTAAATATGCTATTATAATCAATAACAAAGTTTTCACCACAATAATATAGGCTCTTAGAAAAACCAAAATATTTTGAAACCAGCAAAGGATAAGCAATTAAAATAATTAATTTGAATGGAAAACAAATAAAATACTAACTTATACAAATTGCTATATTTTGTTTCTGTTATATAGGTAAATTTTCCTCTACAACTTGTATATATTGGTAGGTATATAAGCATTAAAACAAGTGACAATGAGAAAACTAGATGATGGTTGAGTTGAAATATTGGAAGAAAAAAATGTTTTCATAGTTTTTTTTTTCATCAGACAAAATAACTGCATAGGAGAAAAGAGTTAGCATGGAGCTTTTTTATGCGTTCATAATGCCTACTTTTAATGATACATAAAAATGTATAATTTAGTATAAAATTCATGCATATATTATTTTATCCATACTGAAATTAAGACTCCATTTGGGAATAGTGCAAATATGAACATGCAAGAATCATAAAAATGACATCATTTATATTTGCACCTAACATATTTATTTTTGCACTCTTTCCAAAATAAACTTAGGCTCAATTTGGAAGGAGTACAAATACAAATATGTACTATGCAAATACATACAAAATACAAGGTTTTGCACTCTATTAATTTGTATTTGTATTCTTTCCATGCAAAATAATATAAAAGTTTTACATTCTACATATTTGCATTTATACTCTTTCCAAACTAAGCCTTGTGCACAATATAAATATAAAGTTTATACATATTTATATTTGTACTCTTTTTTGGACTGAAGTTCGAGGGGTTGCAAGTGGGTTGGAACCATGACCATGAAGAGTCATTTTACAAACTGTTTGGCCGTATTAATTGTTGCCTTCCAAGCTGTGAAACTCCAAGAGTGAGTAAAGAAAAGAAAAGGGCAACATGTGAAGGAAACCAAAGGAAGGAAGCAGCATTGTTATTCATAAAAGGAAAGATTTCGCTTTAAAGGGATTACCTAAATGACATGTTTACCCTTGAAGGAAGGAAAGGAACCTTTCTACTTTTATAATTACATGTGCATCAGAAACAAACAATTGATGTGGGGTCAATCAGTATTTATGATGTGGATTCTATACACAACACCCTCCAAGGCTGCACGGTGGACCAATAACTGAACGACACGAACAGGTAAAAGGTATGTGTCAATTTAGTCGTTATTACAGTACTTTGCCAAAAACGGTATGAATTACGCAATACACTTGCTTTCTACGTTGTCTTGTCCTGATTGGTCCAGTTCCGAGGGAAATGGAAATCAATCCCTCCCTCCCTCCTTCCCTCCCTCCCAGATCTGACCCTCCTGTCACTTATTGGACCTTTCCCACTTGATGGGTCAACGAATGATTGATTCTGCCGATTGGGCCGACCCACTCCCACCCAATGTCCATAACCGTCCTATCTTCTACCTTGTAAAACCTCAATGATAAAATAAATGGAAAATTCCTACTTTGAGTGATAATTTGATCCGAATTTTAAAATATAATAATTCAGAATCCGAATTTTCAATATGTGATAATTTATTATCTAAATTTTTAAAACATGACAATCCAGTATTTGTTGTTAATTAATTTATTCATTTAAAATGTTAAAAATGTCCTAAAAATGTCATTTAATTTTTTTTATCAATCATTTAAACATTTATAATAAAATGAATAATCAAAAATTCTAAATTCTTCTGAACATTCACCAACTTTTATGAATAGAAAAAGATAAGGTTTGAGACTGTTCAATTTTTTATCAACGTTTTGAATGATTGACAAAAAGAATTAGATGGCATTTAAAGGGATTTTTAACCTTTTAAATGTTACTTAGCAACTGATTAATGAACTGGTTAATGACAAATACTAAATTATCATATTTTGAAAATTTAGGTATTAGATTATCGCAATTTGAAAATTTGAATAATGGATTGTCGCATTTTGAAGTTCGGGACCAAATTATAAATCGAGCCAAATACAGGTATGATCGTAATTTTCCCAAAAATAAACCAAAATTTATTATACAATTAAACATAAGATACCTGAACCTGAATCAGAATTATTGGGCATTTAATAAAGTTGACGACACCCTATTTCTGAGGCATGACGTAGGAAGGGATAGAGAAATAGTCAGATCAGATGGAGAGATAATGGGATTTGAGATCAATTGTAGACCGTTGGATCTACAAAGGACAGCCTGTCTTAGACCTCATCCCTTTTGAGGGAAATGGTCTTAAGAAAAGCTCTGTCTGTCCATGTATTGGCTTTAAATAGAAAACTTTACAATTCCCCTTCTTGTCTGAGGCGGAAAAATTGAAAATGCCTGAAAATTTTAGACAATGACCGATGGACACGACAGGGGCGCCCACGATATCTACGGATGGGAGCGTGCTCATGAAATCATTGCTCCTGACGAGATTGGCTTCAATTATGACACGCCTGTGCTCACATCGTTCCAACAGCCTTTAATAACTTTGCATCGAGAATATCATGAATAGGGAGAGATTTTTCATTTCTCATGCAAGGCTGTAAAGGCTGATCGAACGGACGTTGCCCTGACGGAAGCGAACTCTCTCCAGACATAGAAGGAGGGCCCACCCGTGGCCTTCGCTTCCAAAAGTCAAAATAAAGAAAAAGTTAAAGCCACTCCAGTGTCGAGTGTCCAGGCTGTGGTCCCCACGTCATTATTTCTTCTATCGTTAATTATACAATTAAAAAAAAAAAGGATTTGGGAAACGAGAAACCTACGCCAATAGCATAAATGGCAAAAAAACCGCCAAGTCGGTGCCGTCATTACAACACAAAAGAGTAAAAAGAATTATCTTTATTTATTTATTGTGAATAGAGAAATATATCTGAACAAAAAATATATTTATTTAACTATCTAATGGCATTTCCGTAAATAATCATCTCGTGGGGCCGCCACCACCCACCAACCGAAAAACGAGAAAAGAAAAGGAACAGAAGATGTCGAATGGGTAGTGATACTCCGTAACTGCATCAGTAGGAAGCAAATCAAATAAACATGATTCACGCGGGAATATTTCACTGTTTTCAACTTTAACAACGTCGGGTCCCACCTCGTTTATTGTGAAGCTCCAATCTGAACGAGATCAGAGCGTCGAGCGTTGCTGCCAGTAGAGCGAGCAACATTGCTCGATAGAATAAAGTAGGTTTGGACGCGACACACAAGGAGGAGCCACGTGACGCGGTCCGTTCACACTTGACGAGGCGGAGGATGGCGATGAATACCGCAGACACGTGTCTATATGTAACTAGCCACGCGAGTACGTTAATGTACGAAGGATGTTGACGTGTTTCTAACATGTGTACGGACTAACTATTTTTTACTGGGGATCGACTCAGCCTTTTGGTAGAGCGAACAAAGTCTTGTTATTAGCCTTTGTTTCGTTTGGTTGTTTCGCTCTCCTCTCTCCTCTCTCCTCTCTCCTCTCTATTTCACTCTCTTTCTCTCTCTCTGGTTTCATGCCTGTAACTTTGTGCTGTGGAATTTACCAAAACAGGAAAAGAGGTAAGGTGAGATACTGGCCTTTTTTTTCCTCAACTTGCTCCTGTTCTGTTGTTGTTTGTCAAGAAGTAATTAAAGGAGAGAGAAGGGAATAAGGATAAAAGGCAAGTCTGGGAGTGTTGAACACTTGTATGTAAAACCTCCCTTTTTCTGGTTCTGGAAGCGTTTTTGTGGGATTTCAATCTTTCTATTTTTAGAGGTGGTGGAAGCTTTTTTGAGATTTTCAGCAGTCTCAGGTAAGATTTTGGTTATTATCATGTTTTCTACCTTCTTCTCTCAAAGCTAGCTGCTTTGAAACTTGAAAACTTGACTTGAAACTTCTCCTGGATTCGGCTGATCTGACTTAAAATTTCGTTCTTGTCTTTTGTTTCCTCCGCTGAATCTGCAAATATACGATCAGTCTTTTGATCATCTTCGTTCATCCTCCTCCTATTTCGCTGTTCACTGCGCGCATTTCTCAAGCAGTGAAGATGGTGAGGGGGAAGACGCAGATGAAGCGGATAGAGAACGCCACCAGCAGGCAGGTAACCTTCTCAAAGCGTCGGAATGGTCTGCTTAAGAAGGCGTTCGAGCTTTCGGTTCTCTGCGATGCTGAAGTGGCGCTCATCGTCTTCTCTCCCAGAGGGAAGCTCTATGAGTTCTCCAGCTCCAGGTACACCTTAGTTATTTTAGTTACCTTCTTCCATGAAATTCTTCACGAAATTCATCTTTTCTTTCTTTTTTAATTCTCCACTACTCCGCGGCTGAATTGTTTGAGCGTTTTATCTCTAATTTTTATTGTGTATCGGACAAATTAGCAGCAGTAAATATCAGACATTAGCAATAGATGAATAGGGTACGGGTTTGCACTCGAGCGTACTATGATTCCAGGCTCTCATTTTTTATATTTCCTTTTCTAATAAGGAGCAGATCTTTGAGCACAGATTTCATTTTGTACCCACAGATGATCTTAGAGATCTCTTTTGATTCTCGAGGTTGCTTTCCTTGTGACTGTTCTTTCCTTTAATAGTTTATACTCGAAGAGGAATAGAGAAATAGAAAAGAAAAAGATAAGAAAGAAAACGACGACAAACCAGAAGAAGAACAAGACTATGATGAAGTTGTCTAGTCTGATTTGAAATATCTTTACTTCATTGCTTCTCTTCGTACTGGTGCACCCGCTCAAATCTCTCTCGCTCTTTCTCTCTAGGTCGTCTTTCTTGCATATTCAAGTCCGTACATTCTCTCTTTACGGTAAAGAAATACAACTTGTCTTTCTCTCTAGCTCGAGGCTCGCTCCTTCTTTCGTTTGTATGTTTACATCTCGAGGCTGAACGTTTCTCTTTATCTAAAGAGATGCCAGCTGTCTTCATCGTTCTTCTGCTCAGCTCTTGTTCAGTTGCTAGTCTTCTGGTTTCCGACATTCAACCTGAAACTTACACCTATATGTGTAGGTTATTCAATGATTCTTTTAGTTTACAATAACAAGTTCAATGTTAATGGAGAACTTCGTTACCCAGTACTTTTTTCTTCTCTGTTTTCCAAACTTGAATCGTCTTCGTTTCACTACAATCTGAGCACTAATATTAGGGTTTAAGGCTTAGAATTTTGTTGAAAGAACTGCTGCTGACAAATTTCTCCCTTTCTTTAGGAACTTTACAGGTTTGTACTCAATAATTCGTATTTGGGTGGGTACGAGTGGGGTAAGCTGTGTAGTGCAATATCAAAGATAAAAAGAAAGATGCAGCTAACCAGGAAGATCGAAGACAAAAGTGGAAAGAAAAATGAGTACCTTCACGTCTCCTGAACTGAACTATCTCTTTACCTAGATCGATCGTTTAAAGTATGAGACATATTTTTTTACATCTTACCAAAGGAAAAATGAATAAAAATAAAAATGCAGAAGGAATATAAAGACTTGAGGTCTTGGTCAGTTCACTAGCAAAATTTTCAGAAATGAAATAGTATGTTGATCTTTTTTTTCCTGCAAAAATAGTATGTCAATCTTTGTCTGTGTACCTTTCAACAGTTTTAGGTGGTAAAACAGTTACACAAATCCCTTCTATTTTTAATTTTAATTAGTTTAAGGGGGAAAAAACAAAACAAAAACCAATCTCGTTGCCGAATATCATAACTTCTTAGGAGCCCACCTCATGAAAGAAAAAAAAAAAACTTTAACGCTTTCGTACCTTAGAGCCTAAAAGTGAATGAATTCGAGTGCAACAGAAAAGGAGAAATCAAAGGGAAAGACTTCAAAACTCCATATCGATCTCGCTCCTCCTCACCGTAATACTCAGGAAAGCTAGTTATATATGTACCCAAAAAAAAAAACCAGTTATGTAAACCGTTTAACGAACTTTAGTTTCTGCAAACAAAAGAAAGAAAGAAAAACCTTTAAAGAGCTTTTTGGAGTTAAATGTGGTTACAATTAAAGTTGGATAAAGAGTGTAAATTTCTTCCATAGGAATCAGTGTAAGAGAGTTTCCTGAAATGAAGTTTGGTAAATTACCGGCCTTCAGATATAGATGGAGAAAGCTTAACAAAAATAGCTATTATCTATCCTGAAATAAACTAGAGGTCATGTTAGAGTGAAGGTACGCCTCAGCATATTCAGTTGCCTAGTTCTTCGAATTTGAAAATCCATTTGCAACAGTAGGGATGCCAAGGACAACTGTGACATCTAATAGCTGAACAGTAGTCCTTAAAAGCACACAAAGTGAACCTGCTAGCCTAAACCTTATTGTCAGACAAATGCTTGATCAAGGGCACTGGGATTTGATTAAATACATGGTGATTTGAACTGCAAGGCATGACCATTCTAAATTGTATTGGTTGCATTTCTACTAACTATAGATTTTATCTGGTACTAGATTTTCAATTATTTACATACTATTTTCACTTTGAACAACACTGTGTCTTATAGGTTTATGTTGATGAACACCTTTACCTTTTATATTTTCCCATATATAGCAAATGGCCTTTTATAGTATTTTTGTCTTGATTTGTAACCATTCATTTTTTATTTTTTGTAAATTCCTTTCCAATTTGAACTTGCATATTTATCCAAGTATTTTCTCAAACAGAAAAGTTTTATGCCAATATGAAAATTTCTTGTGAAATTCATGCAAAAGTTCCCATCTTCAAATACCCATGATATTTATGATCAGAATTGTAGACCTTTTTTTCTATATAGTAATTTTAAACTTTATTAGAATAAGAAGTCTAGAGAGAAGAAAGAGCTTTGAAGTTCAAGTTAACGGACATATTTTATCATATTCTCTAGTGCATTGAAATATTTTATATTGTTTTTCACAAATTCTACTTTATCATATTCTCTAGTCCATTATATTTTTCTTTTTCAAAAAAAATATTTTTCAATTTTGTCATTATAGGTGACTCTCATTTTTATTTTTCTTCGTGAAATATATTTTAGTTATATACGATTTCACAAAAATAGTGTTAAATAATATAATTGCATAAGAAGAATAATTATAATGTAAATAGTAACTTATATTAATTAAAACATGATACAATAATATCTATAATTAACTAAAATATCAATATGGGTATTGTATATAATCATTTCAAGAACATCTTTTTTTTATCATTTAATAATAATATATTGATCCAAAAGAGTATGCCCTTTTATAATTCAAATAGATATTAGCAAATATTCTATAATTAATATTTAAATGGTTTAAAATTTTACAATAGTTATGCATGAAATTTTTACATATCTTACTTTAAGTCGTTAATATTCCCAATGAGAGTGGCATTTTAAACGCTGGAACTCATCAGAACCTATATAAATACTCTAAACAATTTTTGACTTGGACTTTGTGGTGTGAAATCTAATCCGGTGGTAGATTTTAAATTCTTCTTCTATAAATGGATGGGTCCTCTAGGATAATCTGCCTTCACCCACTTGGGAAGAGTTTGACACTACTTCAATCCTTGGCATTGCTGACATGCTTGCTGAACTGTCAGGTAGTGAAAATAATGAACCTAATCCCTAAAACAAGCAGATATGGAAGAAGTTTGATCAATAGTAATTTCCCCATCTTCTATTTCAGAGAGTTGAAACAAAGAAATAAAAACAAAAAAATAAAGTAGAGAATAATTGAAGAAAGTATTCTAGGATTCAGAGAGTTTTGACTGATCCTAGTTATCTATTTATAATGATAGAAGTAGAAGTTGATTACAATTGTTAGTATACAAGATAAAGAACAAGAACCAATTAGTAGGATAAGATAGGACTCTAGATAGAGTGATTGTCCTAAAAACTTATCCTGATACGATGGGATTACATTGAGATAGAGATTACACTGAGATTATCTTTATCTTGGAAATACCCTAATCCTTATGTACTACTGTTAACATGCCCCGCTCAAGCTGAACGGGGCAATGTAAAGATTGGATTGAAGTAGATCAAACCAGCCTAAAGCCAAAGGTTTTGTAAAGATGTCAGCAATCTAATCAGAGGTGGGAATGCACCGAATTGCAAATTGCTTTCTAGTAGCTAGATTTCGTAGAAAATGATAATCGATTTCTACATGTTTGGTTCGAGCATGAAAGATTAGATTGACAGCTTAGTAAGTAGCTCCAATGTTGTCACACCAAGCAATAGGAACCGATATAGAGTATCCCAAATCAGCAAGAAGAGATCAAATCCATAAGACTTCAGTAATGGAATTAGCTTGAGCACGGAATTCAGATTCTGTGCTAGAGCGAGCAATAGTGGCTTGCTTCTTGGAACTCCATGAAATTAGATTATGTCCGAGGTAAACTGGGTAATCACCAGTAGAACGCTGATCATCAGGATAGCTTGCCCAATCGACATCAGAATAGCTAGTGGAACAATATTAGGTGATGCCTAAAACTGGATACCATATTCAATAGTACCTTTTAGATACTGTAGTATCCGTTTCACTGCACTCTAGCATTCATCAGATGGGCAATGTAAAAATTGGTACAATTTGTTTACAACAAAGGAGATGTCTGGTCTTGTCAATGTAACATATTGCAGAGTGCCAACAACACTATGATATTCTGTATGATCTGACAGAGGTGCTCTAGAAATCTTAGACAACTTCACTGAAGTGGCTATAGGAGTGGAGACAGGTTTAATGCCATCTAGATGAGTGCGATGAAGTAATTCAACAATGTACTTCTGTTGAGATTAATGCAATCCGGAAGAGTTGTGCTGAGCTTCAATGCAAAGAAAGTAATGCAAGGTACCCAAATCTTTCAATGGAAAGATGTTGGAGAGAGAGCGTAAGAAATGATCAATTGTAGTGGAGGAGTTCCCAGTAAGAATAATATCATCAACATAAATGGGAATAAACAATTTAGTTCCACCACGATCAAAAATAAATAGAGGGATCAATGGTGGAGTTTCAAAAACCCATATGGAAAAGAGTGTTACTGAGTTGAGAATACCTTGCTCTCAAGGCCTGCTTGAGACCATACAAGGCCTTGCGAAGTTTGCAGACATGATTTGGATAAGAAGGATCTTCAAACTCTTTGGGTTGGTGAACATTGATGTCCTCATCCAGAAGACCTTGTAAAAAGGCATTATTAACATTTAGTAGACGTACTGGCCAATTGTGAGAAATAACAAGGGCTAGTATTGTGCAAATAGTCATAAGTTTAATAACTGGACTAAATGTGTCA